CATGCCATGCACTCCAGCCTGGGCGACAGAGTGAGACTCTATCTCAAAAAATAAAAAAAATAAATAAATAAAAGACCAGGAGTGGTGGCTCACACCTGTAGTCCCAGCACTTTGGGAGACTGAGGTGGTCAAATCACGAGGTTAAGAGATCAAGACCATCCTGGCCAAAATGCAGAAACCCTATCTTTACTAAAAATACAAAAAAATTAGCTGGGTGTAGTGGCACACTCCTGTAGTCCCACCTACTCAGGAGGCTGAGGCAGGAGAATCACTTGAACCTGGGAGGCAGAGGTTGCAGTGAGCCGAAATCACACCACTACACCCCAACCTGGCAACAGAGCAAGACTCCGTCTAAAAAATAAAAAAATAAAAAGGCCAGACATGGTGGCTCATGTCTGTAATCCCAGCACTTTAGGAGGCCAAGACAGGCAGATCACCTGGGATCAGGAGTTTGAGACCAGCCTGGCTAGCATGTTGAAACCCCACCTCTACGAAAAATACAAAAATTAGCTGGGTGTGGTGGCACACGCCTGTAGTCCCAGCTACTCAGGAGGCTGAAGCAGGAGAATTGCTTGAACCCAACAGGCGGAGGTTGCAGTGAGCCAAGATTGCACCACTGGACTCCAGCCTGGGTGACAGAGTGAGACTCCATCTCAAAAATAAGTAAATACATAAAAATAAAATTAAAAACTAAGGGCCGGGCGTGGTGGCTCACGCCTGTAATCCAAGCACTTTGGAGGCCAAAGCGGGTGGATCACCTGAGGTCGGGAGTTTAAGACTAGCCTGACCAACATGGTGAAACCTCTTCTTATTTAAAAAAAAAACAAAAAAAAAACAGCAGGAATATAAGTGGGAGCTTTGTCATAAACTACTTACTAGAATCATCTCTGAAGTGAGGTAGCAATATCTTAAGTGTCAAGACAAGGGACTTTATGTATTTAAAATGTCTTACAGTATGCCGGGGTGATGGCATATGCCTATAGTGCCAGCTACCACAGAGGCTGAGGCAAAAGGATCACCTGAGCTGAGTAGCTCCTGGCCTGCCTGGGCAATATAGCAAGACTCCATTTAAAAATAGAAGTTGCCAGGTATGGTGACTTTTACTTGTTGTAACCCCAGCACTTTGGGAGGCCAAGGCAGGAGGATCATTTGAATCCAGGAGTTCAAGGCTGCAGTGAGCTATGATTGCACCACTGCACACCAGCCTGGACAACAGAGTAAGACCTTGTCTGGAAAAATATATAAATAAATAAAATGTCTTACAACTTGACCGTCTTTTTTCTTAATCCTTAAAAATAGGCTGAGCCAGAGAAGAGGCCAAAGAAAGTCTCACAGATTCGCATCCGGAAAACTATTCCTAGGCCAGATCCTAATCTTACCCCCATGGGCCTTCCTCGACCCAAAAGGTGAGCTCCTTCTCTGATACAAGCTGGGTTCACTTTTTTCGAAAATTGTTTGTCGGAATATAATTACCCTTTAAATGATCTTACAGTCTGAGCCATTTATTAATCTTCTAAGAATTTATCCTAAAGATTTCATTAGTGATGTCACTAGATATTTATATGCAAGTACATTTTAATACATTGCATACATAATCTTAGTTCACCCTCCAGTGTCACTAGGAGGGACCTGTGTTAGGCCGCAGCATTGATCCTGGCACATGTGGTTTCTGTCTGTCACAGGATTTACTCAGCCCCAGAGCCCAAGCCCTAATACTCTGTGCACTAAACTGGAAAAGGACCTAAAAGTCCTGAGTTTAGTTTCTTTTAAAAGTGATCTTCAGGGCCGGGCGTGGTGGCTCAAGCCTATAATCCCAGCACTTTGGGAGGCCGAGGCGGGTGGATCATGAGGTCAAGAGATCGAGACCATCCTGGTCAACATGGTGAAACCCCATCTCTACTAAAA